TGCCCCCACCCAGTAACAGTCTATATTAGGGGTCCTATTAAGGGCTATATATATAACCATACTATAAGTATTATCCAACTGTTACTGAGGGGGGGGCAGTACCCAAGGTTTAGGGGTTCGGGGTTTAGGGTATTTGGATTTGGGCCATGGGCCCTCGACTATAGGGGAGGTAAGGACCCCGGGATGACGGGCCCATACTAGGGCCCTATGGATAGGGTTTGCTCAAAAGTGTTGGGTTTAGGGTTTAGGGGTTCATGGCCGGAGTTTTGACCGACTTTTGACATCGCTTGTTTGTTTTGCTTGGCTTGTGGCTTTAGGGCTTTTAAAGGGGCTTTAGTAGGAACCCCCAAAGAGGGGTAACCCGAGAACATAACAGGGAATGAAAGAAAGATTAGGGCCCTGTAGATATTTTCCGAGTATGAACCTACCATATGGCCGTAGTCCAAACTCCTTGAAGGGGTTATATAGGGTTGGAGGCTTAGGGTTTAAGGTCTCCTTAAAGGGGATTATACAGGGGATCATATAGGGGACTATTACAGCGGTGATTAAATGGGGGATGCTAGGAGTTTAGCCTATAGCTCATTTTCTTGGGGTTCCCATCAAAAAGCCCCTTCTGGTTAAGCCCGGAGCCCATAGTTCTAACCTTAGACTTGCAAGGAATTTAAAACCCCCAAAACCCCTAAACCCTGAACCCCTAAACCCCCCCAAACCCTGAAACCCTAAACCCCTAAACCCTAAAAACATGGAGCAACCTCGAGTCCAGGCCATCACTTGGAGATCAGGGTGGTAAGCCATACGTTCAGGGTTTAGGCTTCAGGGTCTAGGGTTGAAGGTTTAGGGTTCAGGGTTTAGGCTTTAGGGTTTAGGGTTCCGGCTCTAGGGTTCAGGTTTAGGGTTTAGGGTAGGAACTGTAGGTGTAACCCAACTAGAACCTGACTTCAAGGGTGGCAGAACCATAATTCAAGGGTAGCAACCCAACTGTAACCATGCTTCATAAGATTCCAAGTACAACCCTAGTTAAGGGGCAGAACGCCAACTATGAACCATACGAAGACAAGGTTAGATCACAACTGTTACCCATACTTGCGTAGGGGACTTTAAGGGGATAATTGCCCACTGTCTCACCTCAACCCTAAAGTCTAACAAACCTTTAAAGCCGTAGGGAACAGCTCCGATCCGGCTTAGAGCGCTGTGGGGTATCTGGCCTGGTGCCCCGGTTTGATCCAGAAGGCATTTTTTGTTTAGGGTTTAGGGTTTAAGGGTAGGGTAATGGAGGAATGGGTTATAGTCCCCCTTAAGAGAATATAGGGTATAGGGTTTAGGGCTCAGGGTTTAGGGTTCAGAGTTCGGGGTGAAGGGTAGTTCGTGGTGTAGGGTCCAGAGTGTAGGGATTGGGAGTATGAAGGGATGAAAAACCCCAATATTGAGACTTCCAAGAAGGGCCCTAATTGTGGGGAAACCCCCTATATATATATATGTATATAGATATATAAATGAATAAAAGAATATATATGTATATATAGATACAGATATAGATATTGTAGAGGTAGGTACGGCTCAGGGTTTAGGGTTAAAGGAATCTGTGAAAGGTGTCTCGTATCAGATGATTTGCAGCGAGTTTGGCTTCTGGGGTTATAGTCCCATTTAAGTAGATATAATATGGCTTTGGGAATATCATAATAAGATCCTCATATACCCCACATTCTATCTAACTAAGGGGACTAGACTCTAAGCAGCTGCACCCTAAATCCCGAACCCTAAACTGTGTGAGGAATAAGATCGTGCATCCCTGCACCATCATACTCAGACACCTCCCAACCAACAATACCAAACATGCCCTCCAATATGAAAGGTCGCTTAACGGGAATTTGAAAAATTAGCAGGGGGGGTGGTGCTCAATATGAATATGAAAGGGTTAGTGCCTACATAATTCTCTACCTTTGTCCTTCCAGTTACGCCATACCGCTGCAAAGCACCATTGAGAAGACAACGCCGCAGCTTAGGGTTGCGAGGTGCATACGTAGTCATAATGTGGGGCAGAGTTTGGGGTTCAGGTATGGGGGAGTTGGGGTTTAGGGTTTTCGGGGTTTGGGGGTTGGGTGTTCAGGCTTCGGGATTTAGGATTTACTGGGCTTAGGATATGGTTCTCCGGGGTAGAAGCCTATTGAGAGCTGAAGGTTCTTTGAGTGTCGGGGGAGCATTGGGGTTATACTCGGGAAGTCAGGTTGTTTGCTGACAGTTTTGTCGAGATACGAGTTCTGCCAATGTACATGAAGTTCTTTGGGGAGTGGTGCGAGCAAGTATGGTCTTTTGGTGGGACCATGATATTGGTTCCCCCAACCCCTGCCATAATGACCTTGTAGCTACCATATGAGAATCCCAAAGTTATACATTACGGCTGCGGGTTTAGGGTTTACGGTGGTTTGTTCCCGGACCCTAGGAAGCCTTTTGAGGACGCACACGAGCAATCTCCAGTTTCCCCATCAGTTCTAGCGCTTCTCAAGTTCAACGGTTCTCAGTTATACGGGTTTAGCAGGTTTGGGCTTCCTAAGGATTGGATTGTGCTCACACACACGCGCACGCCTGTTGGCACTTGCATTGGGCACCCCTTCCAATACTATGTGCCAAGCATACTGGTTTAGGTTCGGGGTTTAGGGTTTAGGCACCCCTTACACAAATGGTATTATGCTCAGGCGGGCTTTCGTAGGCGGAGCGGATTAGTATCATCCATATTCTATTCAGGTAGGTTTTAGCAGGCGGGAGGGGGATTAAAATCATGAATCATGCATCAGGGGCTTTCAGTACTTCTTACAAGGGATGGAGGACAGGATACCAATACTATTCCCTATATAATCCCCATTCCTGTAGCATTTTTCAACAGGGACAACTTAGAAGTTCTGGGCCCTGAGGTACCCTACACGAAGATTAGGGACAGGATCGTGAGCAAGGCCCACAGAGAGACCATGTCAACCTACTACGACATCCCTTTTTCAGAGACATTAGCCTATGCATGTTTCTATTGCAAGCTTCATGCTTGTTTTGGGGAGTGTGGTGATCTTGTGCTAGCATGCCCAGGACAACGGAACCCTGTCCAAAGTCTTCGAGCGCGTAAGTGGAACTGGCAGGCGGGTGCGGGTGTGGCAGGTTTGCGAAGTCCACCATTTGGGGGGTACAGAATATTTCCACAACTGCAGAAAGTGCTTTGCCTTTCATATCGACAGGCCCTCAAGATTGGCATCCCTTTTTTTCTCTGGCTGGTGACGTCGTACGCCATACGGCAAAATTTGCATGACTTTCCCCGTGCACATGAGCCTCCATGTCTCTGGCAGCCCGCTGGTGTTTCCAGCCCACACTGGGGACCTAAACATGCGCACCGCAACTTTTCAGTTTGCGCAGTCTGAGCTCTTCTTGAAACCTAAAGGGGTTCCCACATAGGTACTTTGGATTAGGTAGATGGACCCTGTGGGTTCAGTGCTCAGAGTTTCCTGCGGCCAGGACGCTACACCTTCAGGCGTTCGAGACGATCTTATGCACTCCAGCAGAAAGGTGAGAGTCAGTTGCAATCATTTCATATTGATACGAAACACCCCCACCCGTAATAGCATAAGAGACCGTGCTTGTTGGGGGACATGCAGTATTGTGGCTAGGGGTGGGGGAGGGTGGGTGGGTGCCTGATATTAGTAATGTTAAGGGATGAGATGTGTCCTTGTGTATGCTTGCCGAGTTGACAAAGTCTGCAAGATCTTGCTTAAGGAGGAGATTCAGCGTGATGAATTCTGGATGGGGCCCATATGAGCTGTAGTCTAAAGTCCTCAGAACGGGGTTATATAGGTGATTATACAGGGAAGTATTCTACAGCTAAGTAAGGGGAATACTCGCAGTTTAGACAATGGCTCACATGTAGCATGCACTGCAATAGCCCGAAACCTTAAACCCTAAAGCCTAGTTCCCAGAACCTAAAGCCCAAATCCTAGATCCCAACCCCCAAATCGTAAACCCTAAACTACCCCAAGCCCCAAATCCTAAACCCCAAGCCCCAAGTCCTAAACCCCAAGCCCCCAAGCCCCAAGTCCTAAACCCCAAGCCCCAAATCCTAAACCCTAAACCCCAAACCCCAAATCCTAAATCCTAAACCCCAAACCCCAAAGCCTAAACCCTAAACCCCATGCCCCAAATCCTAAGCCCAAGCCCCCAAGCCCCAAGTCCTTGTAAGTGGAAGAAGCGAAGGTCGCCTACGACTCGCGAATCTTCTGGCGAGGCCTTGGAGGGCGAACCTCTCGGTCCCGCGGCTACGCACTTTACGGATTTGGGGTTTGGGGGATTTAGGGTTTAGGGATTTAGGGTTTAGGTTTTAGGGGTTTGGGGTTTAGAGATTTCAGGTTTGGGGGTTTAGGGATTCAGTGCATTTTGGGTCTAGGGTTTGGAGCTTTGGGTCTAGAG